TAGAGCCTCGGGAGTTGCCTATGAGACCAAAACAGCTACCCGTCATTTCAGATTATAAATTTTATCTCTAAGGACTGTCACATGATTTACGACAATTTGCCATATGTCAAGGAAAGACGCTGAACGTTCATTTGAGATGTAACTGAGAATGCTATTATCTTTTTGATTTCCAAAAGCATTAAACTTTTAATTTGATATAATGAATAACAGTTTTTCTAACACGAATCTCACTAAATCCATCTATGCATCATAGTACAATATCTGCTAACTGCAAAGAAAGTTAGCAGAAATGTCAGCTATCTGCACTAATTTTGTCAATTAGAGCTTCATTTAGATAAATACGCTTTAAATATGTGTTAAACGTCATTTACTTTTTGTGACCAAAGTTGTAGAGTCTTAAGGCTGGTAGTATAATATACAGGGTGTTTTAGAACTAAGGGGTCAAACTTCAAGGGGTTATTCAGTGTAACAGTAGAAAACATTTGAGTATAGGGACCCATATCGGGAAAATTGTCACTACGGCACTACGCCCCAAGACGCGTTAAAATTTAGAAGACGATGAATTGCCTAAATAGGATTTAATGCATTTAATTTTTGCGTTTTGTACATGACATCATCACAACAATTGTTCAAGATGTCTTCCTCCAACCTGAATACACCGATTTAAATTAAATCTTGCTGGAGCTTCGTAAAGCAAAGACTTTACATGTCCCCACAGAAAAAAATCTGGCGACGTTAGATCGGGTGACTTAGGAGGCCAAGAAACTGCTCCACCTCTGGCAATCCGTCGGTGCAAAAAATCGCTGAGCCAAATACTCACGTACTTGTACAACAAAGTGAGTTGGCGCTCCATCATGCTGAAACCACATTTGCTGTCGAACGTTTAATGGAATATTTCCAAGAAGTTCTGGAAGAACTTCCTCCAAGAAACGTCGGTAAATAGATCCTGTTAACCGTTCCGGTAGAAGATATGGCCCAATTAAATAATCATCAACAATGTCTGCCCATACGTTGACAGACCAAAGTTGCTGATGTTTTCTAAGAAAAGATAACAATACATAAGCGCCGGATATGGGTCGCTATACTCAAATGTTTTCTACTGTTACACTGAATAACCCCTACAAGCTTGATCCCATAGTTCTGAAACACCCTGTACATATTTATCCATACTGGCAATCCACCTGGTCACAAGGGTAAGTAAATAATGGGAGAACTGGACACTTGGAAATATTGGAGGAACGTTGGATCAAGTGTGTGGGAATCGGAACGGAATTTGTAAAAAAATAAAATCAGGTATTAAGTAAAAATGGCGTTTCAGAGTCGGGCTGAGTACTTTTCAGTTTACCCCTGTATAAAAAAAATCACATTATTATGATGTAAATCGCGCCAAGGATGCTGACACAGTACCTTTACATATGAAAGGTACGAGATATATTATAAAGAGCCATGATCGATCAATGCTTTCACTATTCTGTAAGAATAAATCCCCCATCTATTTCAAGCAACCCCATTTTTTCATAACTCCTTGTCGCCACTGTGAGTGCCACTTCTAATAAATTGGGGAGATAGAAGTACATCTTCATGAGCACCCTCGGTTTAAACGCAAGAATAACACTCTTGGAGACTACAGCAAAAAGGGAGTAGGTGTGGTTGCTCCTGCAAGAAATTTTGTCAAACGGAAATGGGATTTCTTGATTTTATGTTGGTGCGGAAGGCCATCAAATTAAATTTCTTGACGGCGTTTTGTACTTGGTTCTAAAAACGTCTAAGGGTCATAATACATCACATGTTAGTCATCACACGTATACGAGTCTCTTGTGTCCAACGCAGAGTATGTGCGCAAGTTCTTATTATTATTTGTATCAAAAGGATATCAATGATATCAAATCGCAAACAGTAAAGGAGAATCAGTAGTTCATTATGTGATGGGTTTTAATATTCTGGCGTCTATGAAACATATGGCTTAAACTGTAAGGATCTTCTATTAGAAAATAAGTCAAATTATCGAAATTAATCATCAGCCAAGGATATTTGAGGATAAAAATGCTACAAGAACATTTGCTAATGATGTGCTTTTCACGATAACTATTAGTATCTTGTTCTTCAAACTTTACTGTCGGCAGTATTCCTTTCCAAATTCACTGTATTTGTTAAATTTTCGGAAATTGTTTTTGTGATACTAACTTCACAAAAAAGAACAAAATATAGTTAAAGGCAACGTACTCAAGAAGGTTACCGTTGTGACTACAGTAAGATAGATTTTTTCAGCACATTTGCATTGGCCAGAGGAATATAGGAATTTATCGACATGAAAGCCACAGGACAACATTTAGATGTTACAGTATATTCCGGATTAGAGAAGCCAAAATCACTGGTGTTAGAATCTCCATTCCGGAGCATGCCATAAATACCTACGTGTAATTTCCAAAGGATCGAGGACTTGTTCAGTAATTGCAGTATGTGATAGCGTGTTTTCTTTTGATGACCAAGCGGATGCACCAGAACTCCAGGGGTTGAATTGTTGTATATGGCGTTTAAAATAGAGAAGAAATCTATCTTTCGACTCGGTACCTACCATTCCAACGTATTATTTCATTTTGCGCTATGTATTTTATATGCAAAAATTATAATTCCAAAGCAGACAGTTCTGACATTAATTTTGATTGTATCAGTAAAATCTTGTCAAACGTCAGCGACTAGTTCAATAACTAATGTTTTGTGTGCGTTTCATGTGGTCCTTGTATGCACACTATTAGTTGAGTTAACAGATATATTGCCATGTAATTGGATTAGTTTGTTGAGAAATTATGTATAAATAAATGCTATCAGTCCTTAGGAGCTATCATTGCTGTTCATTTTCTGTTGCTATAAACATGAGAACAACCTTCTTGTATAATCCCATAAGTCGAACCACATTTTTACATTTTAATCTATTTCCGTTTCCACTCTTACATATTTGACTTCCACAATCGCAGAGATATTCTTCCGTGGCAATGTACAGAATTTGAAAAAGTCCCGTTATAAAGGGGGCTTTGAAGGCAGCTCGCTGTTAAGGAAATTGATTTTTCATTGTGAATTTCCTTCTCCTTGTACCTGCAAATCGCCAGGGACCTTTGGATGTGCCGGAGGTATACCGCTGAGTTGCAGACATTCGGCGAGGACGCCTGACACTGTCACAATTTTATTTTCCCAAGGCGAATTTGTTGTCTGAAAATATAGTCGGTAAATGTAAGTGTCGAGTAGAAGGAATAAAAATGCTGACCGAAATTCAAAGATGATGCTTACTATCATTTTTTGCTACTCCACTTCCTCTGGGTTTACAGTGCAGATTTGTGCATCAGCCTCTTGGCTCTTGCAACCCCAGGTCTCGTAGACCAGTTTGCGTACATAATAATAATAATGGCTTTTTAGGACTACCACTTCATAGTACATTGCGTTTAGCTATTTTTCAACTTAACCAAATCATGCTATCTATCGATATTAATGTTGCACGTTCCGAATACCGCGGAACAAAACAAAAACATGTTGGAACAGCGATATATGTAAAAATTGGCATCTCTAATAGCTGAAAAAATCTTAATATAGAGAACTGTTCATAGGAGATGCATTTTGAAGAGTCAGGTATTGTGATCAATGATGCTCAGGTCATAGTCGTCTATAGATCTCTTAACGGAAACTTCGACTTATTTTGTTCACAGTTATGCCAGAAGTTGGATGAAATTAATACACAGAAACACGAGGTGTTCTCGGGTGATTTCACTTTGGTACTAGTGACTACTATGCCCGAGTTGTCGAAGACATATTTCAATCATATGGCATTAGGCGTACAATTATTACTCGAACGCCAAAAAATTCGTGTATTGACAATGATTTTATCAACTTTGACACGGCTTTTTCATCTACAACTGCTGACTCGCCTATATCGGACCACAAAGCTCTGGCGTTTTTATGTAAATATGGTAACTCTGGATTGCCGCAAGGTGAGGTATCGCCCAATAACTGGTAGAGTTTCAATGATAATTTATATCGCTATAGAGCAGGGTTTCCTAACCACCTTTTTGTTGAGGCTCCCCGGACTATAAATTATATCTTCATGCCCCCTTTATTTTTTCAATAAATATAAAAAACGCACATTATATAGGTACAACGACTTCTATTTTAATTTTAATAAAGAAACTTTAAAAGTTTAAATTAACTAATAAATGTTTTTTATCGAAAAACTTGAATAAAATAAGAGTAGGTACTAATGAGACACTTGATATTGCAAGTCCTGTACCAGTTGGTTGATTCTAGGTTGTGTTTTTGCCAGAGCTATCATCAGGTCGCTATCGACATCAAGACGATTTACTGTTTAGTTTTAATTAAAATTGGAGCAGAAAAGCCTGTTTCACATAAGTAAGTTAAAGAAAATAGTACTAGTATTCGTAAAGCGAGAGAGGCAAGTGTCGAATTAACAGGCAATCTTTTGATCAAAAATTTTTCCAATGTTAAAAGATGGAAGTCATCTTTAATGGACGAATCAGCCGTCACTTCTAGAAATTCTTCCTGAATTTCTGGTAATTGTGACACATCGACAACAAATGGATTTCTTGTCATGTGCCATATTGATGTCTCGATAGTATCGGCGAAATTCGTCTTCCAACGTTTGCAAATGGGTTTTTGTGTCAGCTTGTAAATTTGCGTCCAGTATGTTATCTTTAGTTGTTTCGAACAGCAGAGAAAAAGATATAACATTTTCAGAAGACACTTTGTGACTCCAAAGTTGAAGCTTTGATATGAACCGCTGAATATATTCATAATTGCTTATTATAATGTTGTTTCTGCCCTGAAGTTTCAAGTTTAGCTCATTCAAGGAGTCAAATATGTCAGTTAAATAAGCCAACAAATGTGTCATCTTTGAACATTGTCAAGAAATCTCGTTTTTCTTTGACCTCAAGAAAAAGAATTACCACTTATTTGAATTCATAAAGGCGTTGCCTTTGAACAGCTAGCGTACCTACTTATGTATGGAACAGAAGAACTTTTTGATCAGAATCGAGATCATCGCAAAGTAAAGTAAATAATCGACTGTTCAAAGCGCTGATTTTGATGTAGTTCACAATCCTTATAGCCAAGTCCAAAGTCTGGCGTAATTTCTGTGGCAATGTTTTGGAAGCCAAAGCTTGCCGATGAATAACACAATGTGTACTGACCATTGAGGGTTTTTTTTCTTTGAGCTTTGTAGCTAAGCCCGATCCTACACCTATCAGTGCAGGTGCGCCATCTGTGCAAAGTCTAATCCAAATAATTTTTTTCAACAAAATTTGATATTGAATTAAATATATCTTAGATGTAGTACCTGCTGCAGATTGGGAGTACAAAATCTCTTCGCCGATGTAACGAACATAAACTATTAACAGTACACAATTAACGATGTCGGTGGATTCTTCGCAACTATTGGCAAAAATGGCGATAATTTTACTTTGTTAATTATTTTGTGACTTTATGTCTGCTGCAATGTCATCGATTCTACGTTTGACTGTGTCATTCGAAAGAGAAATAGACTTCATTTTTTGCTCTGCATCTCCACCGATAGTATGAGGTTTCTGTTGCTTTGCTATTATAAAAGCTATTTCAAATGAAGTTTTGAGGTGCTGCGATACACCTGTGTGATAACTTCCCGATTTATCCAGTCTCACCCGCCTGAGTGCTTCTGCGTTAGAAGAAAAAAACTCTTTAGTTTTCAACACCAGAGTAGGATGTTGTTGCTTCAAATGCCTTTCAAGGCGATTGGGCCTCATGCTGTAATTACTTAAAACTTTCATACATATAACACACTGAGGCAATTGTAACTTGTCTTTTTCTATGAAGGTAAATTCAAACTTAACGTAATCTTCGGAAAACTTTATTTTTTATCTGCTATTTTGAACCTATAACAATAAAACAAATAAGCAATGAATAAATAAGCAAAATACCTACATGTAATTACTAATTATATGCCCATTATTTCATATTAATAACGTAAGGTTGACGTTATAACAGTAATTTTAAATGCATTTGAAATCAATATTAGGTACTTAAAGTTCGTCGTTTCAAAATTATTTCGCCACGTTGGTTTGATTGCGATGTGATAAAAAAGTCCCAATGGTCGATCTATGAACGCGTCTCCACTCAATCAACAACTTAGTAGATTGAATAAAAATGCTAACTGAAGTTTGTATATACACAAACTAACCTTTTAACAGTAAGACACAATAATTTGACACACTCAAACAGATTTCTCAACAAAACATGTACACCGAAACGTCAAATTTTTCGCTAGTTTGGTTCACAACTGTTTTCTAAGTGATAAGCGGAGCGCGGCGGGGGTGTGCGCGGACTTCCTGTTGTAACTTGTCGAAACTTGTATAATCTGCGATTGACGACGCCGGGTTTTGAAACAGCGATTGACAGAATAAGTGAATATGATATTTAATTTCTAATTTCGTGCGTGTAAATTAAACATTACATTTTGACGAGACTGAATCAAATAAATCCCATTGTCTTCAGAAATTTAGATATGTCTATCGAGGTGTAATATACAAAGCTAAAAGGGATGCTAATGATTCACGCATAAATGGGTCTGGTAATTAACAAAAAGCTATTTGCGATGTTATTCAGACCAAAAATGTAATCTAATCACTACTCACAACACATATCAGTAAACAATTTCAACCCCCACTTCGTCGAAATAGCAAATACTACTTTATCTAGAATACCACCATCATATATGTCTAGGCAATATCAGTACTACAACTTAACTTTGACATTCAGGGAGACCACTATTATTGAATTAACCGTTTGACACAAAACTCATTATATCAGAAGTATAGTAGTTAGATAGTCCACCATTACCATATCAACCATAACTATCTGACAAAGCATAATATTTTAATTTTTTGGGTAGGATTTCATTGTCCACCACATCAAACGTCTCGACTGTAGCCCAAAATTACCAATAGGCTAATCAGTCTATCATCCGTGGATTTCACTATATCTCTAGATAGTCCCATAAGCGTTGTGGATGTGTTGTGAAGTTTTGAATCGGATTTCAAAGAAACAAAACAGGTACTCATACCATAATAACTAACTTGTCTAATTGATTTTAGCTTAACTTGTACACAGTCTGTTTGTAGGAACGTCGAGGTGGGAACTGTAAAATACACACACAGCACCGATGTTACAAAAGTGAGTCAGAAGTTACGCTTATGTTCTGTTCATTTTTAACACGCTTTCACAAGCTTGACCTGTATGTGTTTACGTATGTATGTATGCAAGGGAATCTTTGAGCATAATATTCACCAACTTCTAGAAGTTTGATTAATTTGAAACCTCGCACACGTATCAAGGACTGATGACAAAATGCAAGAATTTGATAACAATATCCCAATATCCTTATTAGGATTGATAAATTCTTTTACAGATCCTCTGTAGGGGAGTAAACGAGATAGAGCTAGCGCGCGATCTGCGCATGCGTGCAGTTTCGGAAATTACTCTTTGTTGGTTCGCGCACTCGGCGCAACACAACGGAGGCAGATACTCTTTCAATTCAATTCTCACCTTGTTCATTGCGAAGTTCGGACAGTCCGGACAGTCCCAAATTCCTTATCACTGTGTATAGCTACCTTAATCGCCCCACAATATGCTGAAAATGCTCTGCAGAGCTAAGGATAAAACCTCGTTTAGTACAAATCCCGCCTACCATTACAATTAAACGTTTAATAATTAAGCCTAAAAAAATACTTTCCATTATCTTGGAGTATTTTTATACATGTCCATCCCAGAGTCAACCCGGCTCTAAAAATACCCCGCATTTACCTCGTTTTGTCAACCCAGATCACTCGGTCCACCGCTGGGGAACCTAATTAATCTGACGATCTCAGTTAAGCAAGGACAAGCACGCGAATCTTTACGAGGGTTCGGAATTGGACAGGTCGCTGTAAAAATGGTGGCGAATAACGCGAGAAAATCGGAAGGATTGTTTGATAGCTCAAGTAAGCTAGTGAAAAGGGTTTCTCCCAAATAAAGGACTTGGCACTTTTTTCTTTCCATTCCGATTGGCAATGAAGTATTGTAGTTGCAGTAAATTTCAGCATTGAAGATTGCTCAGCTTTCGTTTGGTCCACCAAAGCCTACACCATGCTGAAGAGTTGCCAAATAGCACGAAGCAACTGTCCATGGTTGGGCGAACGAAAGCTATATTTTTAATCTGATGAGATTTTATGTTTTTGCATGTTACATACCATGTGTAAGAACCTCAATTCCAGGGACTTCTTTTAGTCATTCATTCAGCATCTAGAATATCTCTACACTATAGCGGGTAGTATGTACTATATTTTTGCTGATCAAAAATTCGTTGTATGAAGAGTTTTTGAGCTGCAGAGTAGTGAAAAACCTATATCACTTTGGAAACAGTTAGTCCTAACTACATGATAAACTGTATCGTAAAAAGTCACTCGTAAGACCGAGAACTACTAAGCTCTTAAACTAATCGAATCTAAAACTTCTGGACTAATTCTAATTTTTCAGGATAAAGTTAATCGTCTTATGAGGCTCCAAAATCAGACCGGTGTTAAAAAAGATGACGAATGTGTAGCTGAAAATTGTGCGGTATGTTTCGGTTCTTAAAAGCTCTATCTTGCTTTTACGCTGCGGTTTGGTTGTATTTCGCACGACACCAACGAAAGTCGATTTTGTGGTTTGTCCTGACCGAAATAATTTTATTAAGCGGGCTAAAATGACACCTAGAAAAACAAGATAAATTGTTTTGGATGGAAAACATTACACTTACACACTTATTTTGTAATAAGACAAATAAAAGAAAAGTCGCTGGAATACAACAAACCAGCATATATAGTATGTGCCTGATAGATTTGAAGAAAGCGGTTGATAATGTCAATTCGGGACGCGATACATTTATTATATGACAGGGGAATACCAATGGATTTAGTAAAAACTATTGAGAATATATATAAAGATAACATAGCTATGGTAAGACGTAAAGGAAAACTCTCGCAACCTATCAAGTATGAAACTGGCATTACACAAGCAGATTCGCTGAGCCCACTAATATTTCATCTGATTATGGATGAAATCATAAAGAAAGTTAAAAAAAGAAGAGGATATGGAATAGGAGAAAAGGAAATGCAGATAATATGCTACGCCGACGATGCCATAATAATAGTCGAAAATGAAGATAACCTACAAATATTAATTAAACAATTCGAAGATACAGAGAAAACTAAATCGATAGTGATATCAGCGGAAGCGAGACGATGTAAAATGGTCGTAAATAACAAAATAATAGAACAAGTAATGGAAGCGGAATACTTGGGAATCAAACTGTCGTGCTATTGAAAAGCGGAAGAAGAAGTACGAAAACAAGTGAACAGAGCAGCAGGATGTTTCAACACTACAATCTGGAGAAACAAATACCTCACAACGGAAACAAAAACTAGGATATATAAATGAACAACAAGACCGATAATGACGTACACAGCGGAAACAAGAGCAGATACGGCGAAGACACAAAGATTATTGGAAACAGCAGAAATGAAAGTCTTACAAAAAATATCAAACCAAACTCTAAGAGACAGAGTAAGAAGTGAGGAAATACGAGCGAGATGTGGTATAGAGAAAATTAACCTGTGGACTAAAAGAAGAAAAATAGAATGGAATCAACATACAGAAAGAATGACAGAAAAGCAAGAGACAAATCGCGAAATGGAAGAAGATCAATGGGACGACCGAAGAAAAGATGATCAGACAACATCAACTGAGGCTGGAAACCGAAGTAAACCAGGCATGAGCCTATTAATAAAGTGGCAAGAAGAAGAAGAAGACAAATCGCGTTGCAGACCTTTGTTGCGTGGATAAGTCACTGAACTTCACAGTCAAGCAAGCTTCACACCTCACACCCTTTGCTCGCACAGGGACAAAAATTGCATCGCGTAATTTGAGGTGATGTGAAAAAACATCATAGCAAAATCGATTTGTCAAGATTCTTTTTTGGGCATTAACATATGCATAGCAATTTCAACAATGTCTGGATGCCTCCGTTTCTAATTTCTTCTATTTGCTTTCGCGCTTCATTAACTTCTTTCTCTTTAAAAGTGGTCAATTCTGGCGAAAGATGGCGCTTTTCGCTACCTAATTCCGATAAACCTCCGTACCTCCGGGATGGAGGATAGTTACGAGGCTTCCGTTCGTTGTTCCACATTCGAGAGATCAAGCATAGACCATGCTGATGAGCAGTTAAGAAGTACAAAACAGCTGTCCATGGTTGGCTGCCTCTTGACTGGACGGACAAAAGCATCACGTTTAGTTCTTTCTCTTTACTCCTTTCTCGAATCTTGTCTAGTTACAGGACAACCAGGCCGACAGGTTAATTGGCTGACTTTGACATAAAGGATGACATCCCAAACACCGCATTATCACACCCAAATAAAAACTCAGATTTTCATGACGATTTTTATAGATATTTTTTCTCTAGATCTCGTAGTGAACGGAATGGGATCAAATGGAATTTCCCCTTCCTCTCGAAGTTTTTACAGCTTCAAGTTATACCGTGAGTGGTTAGATGGTGCATGTTGCGCAAAATGTTTGCTTTAAGCTTCTTGATAAACTTAGCTGTCTTCTTTGAATCTGAAATAAAAAGACCAATCGGTTTTTATGCAATGAAATCAACCATTTGATATGACAAGTGCGGTTCCTCTTCGATGACCTTCTCCGTCGTTATTTAAAATCAGGTGGACGTGTTCCTATATTCATAATTTAATGATTTAACTCAATTTTAGGCTTTGCGAAGACAAATTTTCAATCGAGATGTCTGTTTTCAAATGACATTGACATACG